AACGTACTTGGAAAGAGTAATCAGATCCTTTTACAGGACATGAAAATAAAATTCTATCAATGCTTATGGGTTAGTTCGGATTCTCTAACTTCTCAATGAGAAGTTACAGTAAGATCGAAGCAAGATACATCCAAATTTAGATCTAAAATGGTAGCCACGCTTCACAACAGTGAAAACACTGTAGACACAAGAACTTACTTTTTCCAGATTTCGACTGGGCGGAATTCTTCTCATCCAACCTAGGTTGCTTAGCGGCTGAACCGCTTTCAGTAGCTGACGATGTAGCATTGCGCTTTCTGAAAATGCGACAACATATACACCACTGGGTCGGTCAGGAAGCAGTATCGCTTTCACTGAACCGACTAATTCAATGGCGTATCCTCTTTCGGCACTGATGCCTTATCCGGATTTGAATTACGGGTGGTGGGGGACGGAGGAAGTATGGTACTTGTTTCAAATGAAACTTATTTGGGAATCAGGTAAAGCGGTTAGAAGCCAGTTTTGCTTCTTCAACTTTCACAAAAGAGCGGGTTTCAAGGGAGGGGGGGGGGGTGATACGGGAGCCTTTCATATATGAACGTTCATTGAGATCCAAGAGCAGGATAAAAACCGCTCTCAATACTACGTACTCATAATATTCCAGTATTACAATCAGGCCCAGCAAGAGTAAGTCGCTTTGACCTCTTGGGGCGGTCTACTGTATAAGCAAACACGTACCATCGCTTCAGCTGCGATGCTTAGCTTTCGTAGTAGATATTGCTCTAAGTAGTAAACAGAACAATACCATGCTAACACCTTGGAAGAATTCCATGGACATTCTACTTGTTCATGAAATTTCAAATGCACAATAATAACCATGTCAACCATCTCCGAAATTAAGGGAGCCATAAAACGACCCCTCAATGTCTTCACTTATGTGCACAGCCAATGGCCTGCATAGCCAATGACAAATTCGCTAACTAGTAGTCAAAGACACGATTAGCGATTGTAAACCGTTAATGGAATGCAAAAACGAAAGGACATGGGCTTGGAGCTAGCTAGCAGTGAAGAAAAAACGCAAAAGAAACGGTTGAAAACGCGCCGAAAACCCATTCGAGCCTTCAGGCCATGCCAGCTTTCATGCCAGCTCAGCTGAAGCCTGTTGCATCGCCTTGGCCCACAAAATTTTTTTTCGCACATTCCGGCACCACCGAACACTGTCCGATAAAAAAAAATGAAGCCGTGGTGAAAAAGCGTCGTAGCAGTTCATAGCCTTACCAGCTTATTCTGCAAAACTAGGAGTACCGTAATCCAACGATCTATTGCACTAGTGCAATCGACTAGGGTCAACGCGAAGCCTGTCCCGTTCGGGAACAGTTTCTCTTGAAGGCACGGTTCATTTGATGTGCAGGCGCCTTTTTTGGATATACTAGCTTTCCCTGCAAGGGTGGAGGATTTACTAATTACGGAGCTGAACAGTACTCGAGTAATGGTGCGGTTGCTCCGCTACTAACTCTCTCCATTTCGAATGGTGAGAGTGAGGTGACGAGAGAAGGAGCTACCACAACAAGTGAAAACTCGTCCGATCGCGATTCGCCTTACAAGCGCGGTTCAGCAGTGGGGTTTCACGTGAGGTATTTCTAGCGGGTTTTTTTCCTGCTTTTTCTTCACTGCTCGATCACTCATTACCTTGTTATTAGAAACTAACCATCACAACCTGTGACTTGGCTACCAGATATGCAGTAGGGACACTTCTGGGGTAATAACCGCTAACGGTGTCTTTAAACACTTGTTAGTCAACGGACATGCAAGTGAAAATGTTCTTGAAAACTTCACCAACAACAAGGCAATCATGCCCAAGAAAACATGACATGCTTACCGATTAGACCACCAGGATACTCCCAAATGCGGAATATCCGGCTCTTTTGAAGTACAATCTCACATATCGCTTATTTACAGCATGCGGTGATCGTTCACAATGACAAGTGGATTGGATCTACAGGTACATAAAAACTCCAC